GGGGGGAGGGCATGGGCAATGCAGGGACTATTTTTGTAACTTATTGCAGAGGGAATGGAAAGGGGTGGTTTTAAGTTATTATTGCCAAAGAGATGAAAGTTTTTCATTGCTCTGGGGTGGGGCAGGGACCTTCTGTTGTTGGTTATTATAGCTTCAGGCTGAGGATGCTGGCGTCAGAGTTTCTTGTTTTGTTTTTTAAGAGAAACCACGTTAAGGAAAAAAAGTCTTCTCGTTTAGTGTCTTATTTTTGGGATTGTGGGAAAATCCCTGGCAGAGGGGATAGGCCAGGTGGGGGGGATGCTGCTCTGCTTCAGGGGTTCACGGTGGCTCCTCGGTGTAGGAGGGGGCAGCCACAGGAGCTCCTGAGTGTGGATTAAGGGTGGCCCTCTGTCATCCCTGATGGAGGCCCCACCCAGAGCCCCTGCAGCCTGGTCCATGCTCCCAGTGGTTCTGCCAGGACCCTGCCACTGTGCCCACTTGTCAGAGTTCAGGCCTGGCTCCCAGCAGTGGCCTCTGCTTGTCCACGCCTGGTGGGAGGTGGGGAGCTGTGTGTCCCTCACTAGCCCATGAGCTGTGCCTATGAAGCCAGCAGAGACGCCAATGCTGAGCTTGGGGGTTGTGGGCCTGAGAAGGTGCAGGGGTCCCTGGGCCCTACTGGCTTCCCAAGCAGCATCTTCTGGCCTCCTGTGTGATTCTCATGACAGCCTCTGTTGTTCAGGGACACCTAGGCCCAGGGGACTCACACCAGCTCCTGTCATCTGCTCTTGTCCTTGGTCCAGCCCCTCTTGTCTCCTGGAACCCCTCCCTCCCCCAGCCACAGATTGTTAAACGTCTGGCACCTTGGCCAGCAGTACCCAGAGGTCACCCAGGGCAGCTTTGATAACAAAGCTTTAAAGACTGGGTTTCCACAGATACCCTGGTCACCAGTCCCAGGAGCAGAGTTCCTGCCATGGACACAGCCTGGAGGACATCCTAGCGGAAGGTGACCCTGGCATTCATGGACCCTCGGGACTCCTTTGCACTCACAAACGTGTAGTCACCACTGCTGGACTCAAGAGGGGGCAGTGGGCTTGTCTTGTGGGCAGAGCTGGGGGACTTCAACAGGCAGAGCCAGACAGGGTGACTGACGATCAGTGACCCACCTTGAGTCAGGGAAGGGACCCGGCGATGCTTCAGACGGGAGTCGGGGGTCCACCAGGGGGATGTAGCTCCAGCAGACCCCCAAGGAGGGGTCCCATGGGGCCTGCCAGGAGTTAGGGAGACCCCTGCCAGTGAGTGACACCCCTCCCAGGCCCACAGATGACACATGGTTTCAGGTGGGAGTCTCATTTATTGACGCATTTGCAGACCGGCAGGAATCCTGCAGTGGATGGTCCGGCCTCTGCGACCCATGCCTGTCACCCATAGGACATGACAGAAGTCCAGCCTGGAAAGACCCCGGGGTCCAGCCCCTTTTCCATTCGTCCCCACAGCCGAGGTGACAGCTCCCTGTTAGAAGCCAGGATCCAGCCCAGCCCATGGGCATCGCTGGGAAGTGGGGCTGGGTGGGTGAACTCCGCGCAGGACACGCTGACAGTGACCCACAGGCCATGGGCTGTGTCAGCTGAGCAGAGGGGCAGATCTGTCGTTGGTCACTGTGGGCTTCAGCTGGACATTGGCAAAGGGGTTTCTGCAGAGAGAGAAAGGGGGTGTCATTATGGGAAGACATGAGGTCATGGGCTCACCCCATAGACTCCAGCTGGCCTCAACCCCAAAGGAAGCACCAGGCCACACCCTGCAGGCCTAGCGTGGAGCTTGGAGCCGGGGCCAGTGACTGCTGCTGACCCACCCCGCATGCTCCAGGGGCTGGGCCGGGGCAGCAGGGGGGGCAGTAGGCCTGTCTCTGTGGGGTGTGGTGCTGCCCCTGAGGCTGCTGCCTGCCTGCCCGGGGAGCAGCTGAGCTTGGCAGCCACAGGAGCCCAGGCTGGACACACAGACACAGACACAGGCAGCGAGCTGTGCATGCGGGGTGTCCAGACACACAGACACAGGTGGGTGTGGGTGCAGTGGGCAGCTGCAGGCCCAGACACTGTCACCACCCAGCCCACCTCCCTGACAGAAACCAGACTTCAGACAGACTGAGATGGAACAAGATGGTACAGGTGGGCTGGGCCCAGGGCCCCTCACGCTCCCGCCCCTCCTTGGAGGCCCCCGGGCAGGTGTGGCACAGATAGCAGGGGTGCAAGGCGGTTCCAGATGCGACGGAGCACGGTGACAGGCAGACTTGGCATGGACAGACGCCCCACGGAAGCGGCTGGCTCTGGAGCCATTACCTGGAGCCGGTGGCCTCTGACGTGGCCTGGGGCCCGTGTCTTCCGGGCCAGGCACTGTCCTTCACACCCGGATGGAGCACACGGGGTGGGGAGTGACACCTCCCAGTATCACAAGGACTCAGTGCTTTATACACACACCTAGATGGTGAATGTTTGTTTACAAGGACAACGGTGACGGTGCTCAGACAGGTGGCTGTGTGGTTTCTGGGTCATCTGTGACATTGGAGTGAGGCTGGCTTGTCCATAAACTTCCTCCTGGTGCAGAGTGTCATGTGCTGGGATCCAGGCCGCGTTCAGCCTCCAGCTCCCGTCATGTTTCACTGCAGCCACTCTGAGCGGAGGCCACCGTGGGACCGCAGGGCCCAGGCAGCACCATAGTGAAAGCATTTGGCTGCTAACTGGAGGTCAGCACCTAAATCTGCTGGCCACTCGGCAGAAGGACAGAGTCTGGGTCCTGGATGATGCTCTCAGGCCCCCAAGGGCAGCGGGACTCTGTCCTGCATGGTGGGGTCAGCACTGAGTTGATGACCGTGGGCCGGGCTTGAAGTCCGTTTTGCCCTGCGATGGTGGTGACATCTCCTTCAGCAGAGCTGGGGATGGTCGTGCCCTGTCTGCCCGCCTTGAGTAAATGAGATCCTGGGGTGCATCTCAGTGGTGCTGATCTCTTTCTAAGCCTAAGGCCAAGTGGCTGGAGGCCCCTGGCAACTTACAGACCATGCAGCTGGCAAACCCTAGCCTGGACACAGGAGGGCCAGTCTGGAGCTGGCAGGCCTTGGACCAGGCACTGGATGCACACTGGCCTAGAGAAGAGAGGGCCAACTAGGCACCAGTGTGTGCCCCTAAACGCTCTCAACCCTTACCCATGTCACAGTGACCAGAGAGAGCCGCTGGCCAGCCCTCCTGGGACTAGGGGGGGTGAATGCCAGGCTGGAAGACGCCTCAGGCGTCTCTGACTGCCTTTCCCCAGCACAGGGTGGCCCATCCGGGCTCTCGGACTTGTTCCCACTGTGGGCATGTGAGCTGTTTCCCAGTCGGGGCATGGATGCTCCCATCAGCACCCACATGGTGAGGGAAGGTGGGTGACAGGTAAAGGACCCACCATTCTCCTGGGTTAAACTGTTAACATCCACGAAGAAAGCCCTGGAGAGGTGCCTGATGCCTTGTGGGGTGCTGCGCTGGAATGACTCGATCTCCAAGGGGCAGCCCCCCGGCAGACCGTGGAGTCCCCCTCTGCGCGCCAGACCAGGGACTGTACGGAGCGACTGTGGCGGGTGACGGGCTGGCGACGGGCATCACCG